CCCCCCCCCCCCCCCCCCGAAATTCCAAATCGCCCCTCCGGAGAAAAAATCCGGGATAAAACACTGTAACTTGTCTTTTATTTTGGTACATAGTATTCTAATCAAAACCCTAAAAGGATATGAGTTTGACTAAGTTATGGAATTTGTTTTTAGAGACATCTTCAAAAATTTTGAACAAAGTCTCTTCAAGATATATAGACTTTGTTCAAAACTTAAGCTAATAATAATTTCGTGTATTATATTTATTTTATCAATTTCAAATAGATAATAAGTGTTAGAGTTCAAACAGCAAAAAAGAAAAATATGACGAACTTGACTCGAATTTGTAAGATTTGTTTGAACATTTGATTGTATAGCCGTAAAAAAGAAAGCATCTTTGATTAATTCATATAATAATATTGAATTAATTGAAGTTTTTTCTAATATATTATCATCATCATCTTGTTGTTGTTGTTGTAATAGATTATTTAATATTTTATTATTTTTTGATAAAATAATATGAAATAATAATAAAATAAAATCCATATGATTTATAAATTCATGCCAATTAATAATACATTGAGCAAATAAATTAAATTGTTTAATATGTACATAATTTGTTTGTTGTTGATTAAGATAAAAAAATAAATGATGTATTATAAAACGATCGTAATGAAAAAATTCTAAAAAACATTTATAACAAATTGAATCTTTTTTATTTGTTATATGTAAACAATATTTTGCTAAATTATAAATATTTATATTATAATTAGATAATTGTGAATAATTATCATTTGTAAAATTTCTATGATTAAAAAAACAATTTGAACATTGACTTAACCATTTTGTAATAATGTTCATTATACATTTTTTTTTCTATATATGAAGAGAAAAATAATTTCCGTTTTTTTTTTGTCTTTTGCGCTTTTTTAGATTTTTTTTTGTGAAAAGAAACGACGAATAAAATGGTATTTAATCAAATTATGTCTTATTTATTATATTTACTTGAACGTTCAAATTTCGATTTAATTTATTTATCATGGTTATGGAATTTATTTAGACCATTATGTATTGTATTATTAGCATTATTTATTTTACCAGCTATTATACTTATATTTATGTATTGTTCATCATTTTTTTGTTTAATTTATAAACATTGGAATAGGCTAAAAGTAGGTAAGTTTAAAATTTATATATAATTTTTTAAAAAAAAAAGTTTTCTAATTTTCTAGGCTGCTTATTCAGAAGATCTTTGGTATGGAGCAATAAAAACTTTAGCTGTCTTTTGGGAATTACAAGCCACTATATGGCATGGTAAGATATATTTCTAGTGTATTTCCATAAAAATTCATCCTTTTGTTTTAAAGGAATTCTATGGTTGGTGAATACAAAAAAAAAAAAAGCTTACGGAGACTAAATAGTCTTAAAGAGCTGATTACTTTTTGAACGTAGTTCTTTTTATCATATTCTACAAAATGATCATGTCTATCGATTAGTTTATGGTAGGATTAGACTTCTGACACCTTACTATAAATTAATCGATAATCATGATCATTTTGTAGAATATGAGAAATAACTACGTTCAAAAAGTAATCTACTCTTTAAGACTATTTAGTCTTCAAAAAACTAAAATTTTTTTTAATCGCTAATATTCAAGTAGATATAAAAGCATGATCAATTATTTTAATTTCAAGCTTGATAGAGATGAGACTAGTTTATCGATATCTAGATCTGATTCTATCATTAGAAAATTATTAAAATTAATGCTTGCTGAAATAATCAGCTCTGGTTAAATATAAATCATAAGATAAAAATTTTGTTACTGAATACAAAATAATTTTTTTACTGTTTTTTATTCCTTAGGTTATGAAGTAGAAGGATTAGAAAATATTCCAACTCAGGGACCAGTTTTGATTGTTTTTTATCATGCTGCATTACCTATTGATTTCTATTATTTATTTGCTAAAATATGGCTCTATCGTAATCGACGTGTACGAGTTGTTGCTGATAAATTTGTTTTCAAAATTCCTGGTATGGTATTAATGATATTTTTTTAATTAAACATGACAAAATTTTTTGTTTTATCTTTTCAAAGGACTTGCAAGCCTTCTTGAAGCACTTGAAATTCAACCAGCAACATCAGCTATGTGTAAATTAATGCTTGAAGAAGGTCATGTACTTGCTGTTGCACCTGGTTCGAAAAATAATTTAGTTATAAAATAATCTCTTTTTTGTTTTCTATTTAGGCGGTGTTCGAGAAGCTCTTTTTGGTGATAAGAATTATAATTTAATATGGAAAGAAAGAAAAGGTTTTGCTAAAGTTGCCATCGATGCTAAAGTTGTCAGTTAAATTGTTTTTTTTTTTGATATTACAATAAAAGAATGTATTTTATTTTTTATTTTTCTAGCCTATCATTCCAATGTTTACAAAAAATTGTCGAGAAGCTATACGTGCTATGACATTAGGTCGTCGTAAGTATATTATCCTTTTGATTGAATAAAATAATACGTTAAATTTTTCGATTATTCAAAAAAAAAAAAAGAACAAATATTGATTTGATTACTTTAGAGAGCTGCGGGTTCATGTTTTTTTGGACCCAGACCCGGACCCGACCCGGCCGAGTCTAGACTCGATCCTGTTTTCACCAATATTTGACACCCTATGTATACATGAACAGAAAAGGGAACACAATTTTAGCTCTTCATTGGCGACTTTAAAGGTCAAATGAGTGTAAAATTATTTCTGACTGTTTCTTTTTCAATTTTGTTAACTTCAATTTTTATTGTTATATATTTCCATTCATAACTTAATGCAGACTGGGTCTGACTTTCCTTTTAGGTTTAGACCTGGACCCGGGTCCGGGTCTGGAAGGACCCGCAGCTCTCTAGATTACTTGTATTTAAATGAGATAATTTATCAGGTTAATTAGATGTATTTGATATGATTGATCTTGATTATGAATCTAATAAGCGTAAAATGTTCAACTATCTTTGATTAATGATTTATTTTGTTATATTTATTCTTTCATGTAATAAAGTTTCTCTCTTGATTCTGTTTTGTTGGTATTATTCCCTAATGAGATCACAAAGAAAAAAGAAATGCGTCCGCAATCAAAAATTCTTTCTTTTTGTCATAGTGAAGAAATATACTTTTAATATAGGATAAATTGCATCTATTATATGATGAAATTCATTTGAATAGGTTTTGTTTTTTTTCGTATATTAAATTTTAGGATTTCTCAGTTATATTTATGAAAAAACTCGTTTACCACTTGTGCCTATTTATGGAATATTTCCAGTAAAATTAATGTAAAAATATATTAAGAAAATTTTTTTTTTCGATCAAATTATTTATCTTATATGATTTAGTACTTATCTTGGTGAACCAATTCCTTATGATCCAGATGTAACACCTGAAGCTCTTGCTCATCGAGTAAATATTTGTTTTTGGATTTTTTTGTTTGTGAATAGAAATTAACACTACGAATATTTAGACGGACGGACATTAGATGAAAAATTGAAAATATACTTTTTAATAGTTTAAATAGAGTAACATATATTCTAACACATCGGTTATTTAATGATATAAAATTCTTTGTTACTTTGTCGGCATTCGCCGAAAAAAGCCACAACAAAAACTATATATAATCTGAAACTACACCTTTCAATCTTTCGCTTTTATCTACTTGGATTTCGACAAAAAAAAAGTCATTTTTCTTGAACACCGAATTCTTTTACAGAAATATGAATTCAGTATAATGAGCTTGTACAATTTTCCATAACTACATGTTGAATTCGAACTCGATCAATAAAATTTTGGATTCGAACCTGATTGATTAGGTTTTTGTGGGAAGAGTCCATCGGGTTCAAAAATTCCTGAAGCCGGATCCGGTCGATTCAAAATTTTCAGACTTGGGTCCGACTGGATTTGGATCCAAATCGGACCCCATAGGCTCTATGCGTGACACGGAGAACGAATATATAAACGAAAAAACGCTCTAATAACCGAATGAATAGTTCAAAAGTAATTCGAAAGAGTTCGGGCTTACTGAAATTACTTTTTAAGTAATTTATTAATTTTAGTTGGTTAATCATAGTAGTCTCAGGAAGTATCGCTACTGGATAAAAAGTATATAAACTTCAATTCTTTTACCTGATATTTTTGACTACAAATAGAACTCAGTAAACTCTAATCGCAAGCACCAATCCGAAGTCAATAGACTTTTATGCAAAGCATTTACGATGAGAACATTGGTTTTTCCTTTCCTAGAACCCAAACAAGGCTTTTTTCGACACTTTTCCAATTTTCCACTGTTTAAATACGCTAACCTTCATTTTCTTATTAATAAATAAAGACTCGCATGTCTATATTTTATCACAGATAGAGTAATTCAATTCGCTGTAATCTTGAGGCGCGAAGAAGTCTTCATTATCTGAGACTATCTTAGCATAGATTTCTTCTCCATTAATAACTACGACCGTGAAATTTTCAAGATAAATGCTTAAAATTAACCAGGAATATGATGATTTTCATCAACTCTCATATGAAGATTACCCAAATGTTACTTCACATAAATCAGACAAATTAAAATTATTTGACATGAAATTATTATTGATGATCGAGATTGCGTTGAGTTATCGAATCATAGATCTCTAACGTCATGAGATTTGTTTTCTATATTGAGAGATTCTCATCTGAAGAAACAATCTATATTGACCTTCTAGCTCTTCCGTTTGAAGATCGATCAAGTCTTTGAGATCAAAGAGTTCAACATGTTCTATTTATAATCAAACAATGAATTTAAAGAATTACAGATTAAATAATTTTTATCTAGTAGCGGATATTTTTGTGACTACTCTACCTAAATAACTAATTTTAATTAATAGGCAACATTTTTATGTAAGTCTATGCTACAAAAAAAAACTTATTCAGAAAAATAATCCTTGTAAAGAATCAAAGTTAAATGAAACGTAGTTACATTTCGTTTTACTTGAAATAGCGAATGAGGATTTTTCTTTTTCTGATTTGACTAATCATATTGATATTCGAGTGATCATAAGGCAATATTGACCAGAATATAAGGTCATTCTAAATTTTAAAAAAAATCATATGTCCGTCTGTTCTATTGCAACAAAAAAAAAATGTCTACTATAACCCGTTACTATTTTAATGATATTTTTTTTTAGGTTAAAAAAGAAATTGAAACAATGATTGAAACTCATCAACGACGTCCGGGTAGTATAACACGAGCTTTCTTTGATCGATTTACTAATTCATCAAAAAACGAAAGTTAAACAAATGTTTTTCTTTTGTTCATGTTTTTTTTTTGTTTTTTTTTCTTTTATAATATAAATACCGGTGAAGAAAAAATATCTTCATTGTGTATTGTGTACATATACACTATTTAATATAATGAGACAAAAAAAAAAAAAAAAAAAAAATAAATAATCGAATTTATTGATCTACTTATATATTAAAAATAAACTTTCATCAAAAAGCAAAAAAAAATTTATTTCATCTCTATTTCAATAATTATAATGTATGAATATCAATTTTTAAATTTGGATGTGTAAAAGGTATGAACCATAATGTAACTAAATATGAGATAATTGTTGCTGCAAAATAAATAGAAAAAAATAAACGATCTATAACAAGACCTATAGCAAGCCATTGAAGACGTGAATAAAATATATTATTTGTACAAGATGATACTCTTTGACGTTCACGATGACGTTTAACAATTAATTCCATTAAATTTTGATCAAAATTTGATCGACTATCATAACGTTGATTATATTGATTAAGAATATTTTCAATTAAATCACTTGAATTTTGTCGACGTTTTGTTTCAATAAGACATAATGTTGGTTCATCATCATCATTATCATATGTTGAACAATTTAATAATGAATGTTGATCATTTTGTATATTAATTTGTTGTTGTTGTTGTCGTACTAATAAAGTATTTGTTGTTGATGATGATGAACGTAATGGAGGTAAATATTTTGATCGTTCTCGTGTATAAAGTAATACTTGTTGTAATAATAAATTTTCAATCATATGTTCATAATTAATATCAAGTTCATTTTTATTAGATGTTACTGGTAATGGACTTGGTTCTAATGAAAGACCAAATGATGCTGATGAATCGGACTAAAATTTAAAACAAAAGAATTATTTTATAGTCTTTGACGAGTTGTTATATTAATAGGAATGTCCAACTCAAATATCGTACTGATAAAAGTATCTATGTATTATAGTCACGTCTTTATTCTATCTTGAAGGAAATTCTTCTATTTTGTAATAGACACGATCAAAATTAGATTTCCATGAAAATTATTTTTGCGAAGTTTATTTTTTTTGTCTTTTTTCATAATTAATAATATATTATTGAATATAAAAACGTGACATCTTTTGTAAGTATAATATATTTTAGAGTAAACTAAAAAAAAAAAATCATGTAAAGCTGATGAAATTAGAATGATTCTTATTCTGATTACGGCAATTCTATTTGAGTATATATCAAGAAAGATGTTAGAGTACTCTCTATAATATAAATCATATTATCAAAAAAATGTCAACTCTCACTTCTTTCGATGAACCGTACCAAATAGACTTGATTGTCATAATCAATCATAGAATAATTGAGTAAAGATCATGCTGACTTTCGTTTACTGTCTATTTTATCAACATATAAGAACTAATGTTTTCATCATGCGATCTAGTAATTCACGATAAGCAAAAAAAAAGTCGAAAGATATATTACTAACGAGAAAAACAAAAATTATATAGTAATATTTATTCATCGCCTTTTCCCATTAAACAAATATGAAAGAAAAAAAAAAAAAAAGGAAATCGAAATTCTCCGATCGATATTAAATCTAATATATAATAATTTAACTACTAGCGAAAAAAAGAAATATTGTCAATTTCATATATATATATATATATATATTAATAGAACTAAAATCCAAATCGATTTGTATAAGTTTGATATGGCATTGGTCTTGACATTGGTTGTACATCATCATATAAAACACCTTTTGGTAAACAAATTGCAATACTACGTCCAGTAAATATTGTAGCAATAAAACTAATTAAAACATTAATACATGCCATAGTTAATTGTGCACTAGCAAGACCATATGAAATTGATTCAGTATTTGTACGTTGACCTGATTTACTTTTAGCTATCATTATTTGATAAAATTTTATAATAAATGAAAAATAAACAATTAAATACACAGCAAATAATGTTGAAAATAAACACATTATAAAAAAACTTAAAATTGAACCATAACTTCGACGTATACCAGCTAAAATTCCTATTATACCAGTTAATAATGTAAAAAGACCAAATATACTAGCTGCATATGTCCATGGCCACCAATGATTATAATAATTTGTTATTGTATAAAGATTATCATTGATATTTGTTGGACCATTAAAAATACGTGGATATTCAAGAATTTGTATTATAATACCAATAATTATTAAAAAACTTCCCAATATATATCCATGTGAACCCCAATTCTCCCATGAATGATTACGATTTATATTCATATTTGGATACATTTCTTTTTTTCAAATGACGTATAACAAAATAGTTCACACAAAGAAAAAGGAAGGTATAGACAATAATAAATACGTCTCGTGAAGTAAATTTTATTAACCGTTATGCATCATCGATTTTACTACATCTCATACAAAACATCCAATCGGATAGTTGAACTTTTCATTTATTTAAAAAACGAAAAACCTATATATATATATATATATATACATTCTCTTACCTTTTGATTCAATATCGAGTTGACCTTGTCTTGCATATGAAGTAGTGGAGACATATACATAAGCGCAAATTTAATCAACCATTGAGGAGCACGATGTTTTTCTGATGTACACATAGCAGCCTGCTGATATACATTAGCAACAATAACAGCCATGATAACCGAAATTGACTATATAAGCGAAAATATAAAAACAAAAAAAAAAACGCATGATGATAATTTATTATACTTACTGTTAAACTCATAACAATTGTCAAATAGATACCTTAAAATATATAAGATTAAAATTTAGAAGATAAATTTTATTTCAAATTTACCTATAATAGGTACTGTATCAGATGTTGCTGGAACTTTTTCAGCTACCATAAGCATGAATACTGAAAATGCAACAAAACATGTTAAGCCAAGTGTCACTTTTTCACCAGAAGATGTTGGCAACCTTTAATTAATAAATTCATTTTTTCTTTTTATTCTGTTGAAGAAACAACTGACATAAATTTACTTACCAAAATGACATACATGTCAAACATGAAAGCATAGCACATGGGATTATTACATTAAATATGTAATACAATGGACGACGACGAATATGAACACCATAAACTAATTCTGAATATGTTCTATTATTTTTTGTTCTGAAAAAAAAAAAAAAAAAAAGATTGAATCGTATTAGGAGTTTTAATCTTGACATGAAAGATGTTCTTTTCTTGTAAATTCTTCGTATAATTTATATTTTGATAATATTTGATGTGAAAAATGTCAGTATGAGAATCTTCTAGATTAATTTACTTTGAAGGCAGATTTTTTTTTTAAAGGTAAAAAAATATTAATTAAATTTTGACGTTCAAATGTTAAAACTCTTCTATGTTTTTGTAGATTAATTTGACAAAAAAAAATAAATAAATCAATATTTTTTTTTTCCTTCATATTTTAATAATTATATTTTCTTTTAAACAAAATTCGATATTTGATATCTTATATTAAATCAAAATAAAAACAAACAAACTACCTTTCAACATTTATAAAAAGAAAAAAAAAACTTTTATCTTAGAAACTAAATATAAACACATAAAAACTTTTTTCTTTCCTTTTTCTATTTATAATATAATTAAGCAATTATTTCTTTAAGACAGCTTTGCACTCACTAGACCTAAGCCATTCTCTATTTTAAATTCTTAAATTAAAAAGAAAAAATTATAAATAACCTACCGCGATACAAGACCTTGTTTAACATCAAGTATAGCCCAACCACTATTTCTTATACTTTCAGATTGATATGAATCATTTGAATTTGCAACAAGTTCATAAGTAATTAATGATATATCATAAATCCATGATGCAAATTTTAAACCACATATTTGTCGATCAAATGGAAAATATTGAATATTTACTTTACATGTTGTACGTAATTTCATTAATACAGGAAAAACAACTTCACCTGTATGATAAACCATTACATATGGACCTTAAATTAAATAAACAATTAGAGAAAAAAAACAAAAATTGAAAAATCCCTATCAAATATATACCATTAACAACTCCTTGTGTTGGTGCTTGAGTTGAAAGATCAAATGCAGCATTATAAATATAACTATCAGGTAACCATATACGATGTGATGGTAAACGAATACCACGTATACCATCATGTTCAGTTTGATTCCAAGCAAGATTTTCATCAAACCATTTTTGTTCAATACGTACATTAGTTGTTAATATTTGTGTTTTTTCTTCCTAGAAAAAAAGAATCTATAGATTTATATAAATTTACTTTTTTCTTACAAGCTCAAATAATTGAGTAATTTCCATTCGAAATGAAACATTAACTACTGCTTGAGCTTGTAGTACTGGCCGTACTGATGGTTCATAATATTGTAATAATTTTCGTATAAGTTCTTGTTCAGTTGTACAAGCTATTTTATTTTTTTTTTTTGTTAATTGAAATAAAGAAAAAAAAATTTATGCAAAACAATTAATCTTACCAACATACGAAACAATAAACATGAACAAGAATATGACGAGATTTCTATTCATATAATTTACATTAGATTGACGAGCACAATAAGAAAAGAAATGACGAAGAGCATGATGAAAAAGATCGGCTGTCTGCGAACAATAGAATCTTATCTGAAATCACAAAAAAATTTTCTCTTTTCTTTCTCTCAAGATCATGCAAATATTCGTATTGGTTCTTTCTTTTATGATCACCATCATCATTCGCCATTTAGTGTTAGCATTTCTATCCATTTTCTCGATTGTATTTCTTTTCTCATAGACACGATCGACACTTCGATAGAACTGAAAGGAAAATGAGACAAACATCTGTCTTTACCTCGAAAGAAACAAGAAAAAAAGAAAGATTTATTATCCGACACCATCACTAATCTTGTTTATTGTCGTTCTATTTAAGCGAATAGCAAAAGAAAGTGTATGTTCGGCAAATTGCATTTCATCTATCTCAATCGCTTTGCTCGTATAGACATGCAATTGCGCTACTCACTGTGAAGCGCAACACACATGACACTGCCATTGACTAGATATATATATATATATATATGCTTATATTGAAAGGTCTACATTGATGATAAAAATAAGGAGAAAAAAAATGATGACATCGACTTCTTAGATCAGAAAGTGAAGGATTTTCACTATCGTATGCATTCTTCTACTCAGCATGTTAATGCTAGAAAATGAAATAAAAATATCTTCACAACAGGGTCTTATATTCTAATTTAAATATTAAAGAAAAATTCTTATTTTATTTTTGCTAGATAGATGAAAATCAAAGTAATGTCAACATAATAGAAAGGTTAAAAAAATGATAGTGGAATAATTAGAGCATAAGAATTTTATTCTTCTTATAAATTATATATATATATATATATATATTAAATATTCATTATATATTAATTTATAAACTAAATTAAATTTTATGCATGGAAAGAGTATAACCACAGTTTTCTTTTTGAACAAAAAAGAATTTTTCTTTGAAAATAATTTTAAATTTTTATGTCAATAATTTTGTTTTAATTTATAAATTTCAAATCAATTGATTTATTATTTCATAAAATAATTTCGATTTAATTTTATATTCATGTCATCTAGCGACCTCATTCAAACAATCATTATGATTTGCTTTTGTTGTCCAACTACGTCATATCATTTCATGATATAACTATTAGCAATAACAAAGAAAATATATATTTAGATTAATTCTTTTAGATGAATTTTAATAGAGTATTTCGTTCATATTCATACCATCGTTTATGGTCTTCATTGAATTATATTCGTACAGTTTATACAGCAAAATCAGAAACATCACCTCTTCAAATTTATCGAAATAAAGTTGCAGTATATGAAGTTTGTTTATTAATCGATATTATTCAAGAAAAAAAAAATAGATGGAATTTTTTTTTTTTTGTTTTATAAATATTTAGTTCCGTGCTGATCCACGTCAGGAACAATTAATGATTATGCTTGATAAATTATATTATGATCTACAAACTTATATACCCGAATCAAGACATATTGAAACAACAACATATCCAGATGAAACAAAAACAAATTTCTTAACAAAATTAACAAATGTTTTTAAATTATCAAGTTCAACAAATGATTTTATTGAACGACCAAAATCATTGTATATCTATGGTAGTGCTGGTTGTGGCAAGGTATTCATAAATTATCTTCGTCTATGTTATTCATACTTATATACATAGAACAGAGTCTTCTAATGGATATCTTCTTCGAATGTATGCCAATTAAAGAAAAACGACGAGTACATTTCAATAGTTTTATGCTTGAATTTCATAATCGTATGTTTTAAATGATAAATATTTTTCTTTGATGATTTACTATTTTTGTTTTCTTTAAAGGTATGCATCGAATTCGAAATAATAATGCAACTGCAAATGATAATCTTCTTGGTAGTGTTGTTGAAGAATTACTTGATGAAATATGGCTTTTATGTTTTGATGAATTTATGGTCTTAGATATTGGTGATGCTATGATTATAAAACGCTTATTTGAACATTTATTTGCTAAAGGTATGATTATGATTGCAACATCAAATCGTCCACCGGATGATCTTTATTATCGAGGATTAAATCGTGAATATTTTGTTCCATTTATACCATTTCTACATCGAATGTGTACAGTATATAATATGGATTCATCAACAGATTATCGTTTAATTGGTACTCAGGTATGATATAGTTTAGGGAAGAAAAAAAAAATTCTATTTTAAATTAAAATAAAATCATATTTTGAAACATATACTAAAGTGGACCGTAATAGTTTAAGACACCTTTATTTTTGAATTTTTTCATCGAAGATGAGTAGCTAGATCAAATCTAAATAGTGATTTGGATAGCTCTTGAAATTCTCTATCGAATATAATATGTGTCAAATTTTCAAAAGAAACTTTGTGAAGAGAGTTTTCCAGAAAATTTTTTCAATATAAGCATCTGAAAGAACGGAAAATTCTGAACAAAATGAAGGGTTACCCAGCTCTGTACGGTATTCCATTACAAAGTTATAAGCATTAGAAAAAACGAAAAACGCGTTTTTTTTTCTAATGTGTGTAACTTTATAATGGAATATCGTACAGAGCTGGGCAACCCTTCATTTTGTTCAGAATTTTCCGTTCTTTCAGATGCTTACTACCAACGACAAAATGACTGTGAATCGTATTTTTGATGTAAATTTTGACAGAAACAAGATAGAGAGCTGTGGTTTTCACTATTGGAAAGAGGAAGTTAAGACGTATTGAATCGTATGTTATAGACTTTTTGACTTGGTTTTTCTAAAGTTTTCAATTGAACTTTTTTGTGAAACAACGTTTTTGATAGGCGACTACGAGGAATTTTCAACTATCTGACATATATTGAAAGCGACAGTTGAAGATTTGTAAAACTGTGCACCGCTCAGATTCTGAGCTTCAATCGTTCAGGAGTTATAAGTATTCTACTCGAAACTAGAAGCCGATTTTTCTAACAGTTCCTGTGAAAAATAAAACTTTTTTTCTGTTTGGTAAAAACTGTTTTTTTCTCATCCATTTTTGGAAAATGGACTTTAAAAGACTCAAAAAGTATATTTAAAAAAGTTTGTAAAATACATTTCCATGCTTCTTTATCTCCACTTTCCAACGGCGGAAACTCCAACTCCCTATCTTGTTTCTATCAAAAATGCGATTCGCAGTCAATTTGTCGTTGGTAGTTATATTGAAAAATCTTTCTGTCAAAATCCTCTAGCACGGTTTTCTGGAAAACTCTCTTCACAAAGTTTGTTTTAGAAATTTGATACATATTGTATTCGATAGAGAATTTCAAAAGCTATCCAAATCACTATTTAGATTTGACCTAGCTACTCATCTTCAATGAAAAATTTCAAAAATAAAAATGTCTTAAATTTTTGCAGTCCATTTTATATGCCAGTTAATACCTAGCAGTAATTCAGTAGATTTCGTGTTTAGTTAATCATGAGAATAGCGTATGGAAGTGCTGATTATGACATTGATATAGTTAAAATTGAATTTATTGTGAATTTGATTTTTTTTTTCGTAGTTATGTTGTTATTTTATCTGTATAGAGCTGGAAACCTATTTATCATCAATTATTTGTTTTTTTGGAAAAATGAGTCATTTCGAAAGATTATATATAGTTAGACATTTGCAAAGGTGGATATTTTTTGAATTGAAATCAGATCTTTCATTTTCGAAATTGTCAGTCTTCTGTTTATTTTTATAATATGAAAGCATTGGTTCTGATTCTGATTCGAAACATGTCATTCCTATTGTTCATATCTCGTTTCGAATGAAGATCTTAACAAAAGCTGTAGACTTCTATCGATAGGAACTTATGTAAAAAATGATTGTAGAATGTTTCTTTTTTGACTAGATATTAATTCTAAAAACATTTTTAGCATGACGATTATGTTATTTAGAAGTTTATATCAAAAATGACACAAAGTGTCATGAAAAATGCTGTTTTCACATCTATAATCAAGTTGATATTTAAACGATTGATATTCTACCGCGATATATCGATAGTTGTTCTTCAACAACGTTTCCAATTCATAAATCTTAGACAAGAAATGATTAAAAAAAAAAAATTTTTTTTTTTCTTTATAAAGTTTTAGCTTATTTTAAAGATACCTACTTCATGTTCGGGAACTATCTTAATCCAATGCTTTTTTACTTCAAATCAACAGTTGCTATGAATAAATCAAGAATGTCTCAATAGAGAATAAAGAGTAATTATGTGTATGAAGTAGACATTCGTAAATATTGATTGTCAACTTTTAAATTCAATCGAAGAGAAAAGACAGAATACAGAAATATTGGGCAACATTCTAACTTTAGATTTTAATATCTATAAACATATGCTAAGTTTTTACATACTTAGAAACATATGCAATTTTTCTAATGATTAATAAAATGAAATAGAAAACAAAAATGTTTTTGTTTATAGGGACATGTTCAAACAGTATTCGATGCTAATCAACCTGAAACAACATCTGAATTAGATTCACTTTGTACTCGTCTTATTGCTCCATTTGAACCTAAAACAGCAACACTTGATGTTAACGGTCGAAATATAAAAATTCCGTGGCAAGCACGAGGTGTTGTTAAATTTTCTTTTGATGAATTATGTGGTCAAGAATATTTTTCAGCTGATTATATAGCTATTGCATCAAAATATCATACATTAATATTAACTGATATACCACATTTAAGTATTGAAAAACGTGATCGTATACGTCGTTTTATAATTCTTATTGATGAATTATATAATTATAATACAAAATTAATTATTTCAATGTTTGTTCCTACAGTTAAAGATATATTTAATCCATTAAAAGATGATCCACAATTAAAACGTGAAGATCTTCTTACAATGGATGAATTTCATTCATTTGATAGAACTATATCACGTCTTATTGAAATGCAATCAAAAGAATATTTATCAAAACCTAAACGATTTATTAATACGGAAAAATTCGTA